CCCCCCCCCCCCCCTCTCTTTCTTTCTCTACCAGGTATCACTAAGTTGCTGAATTGCATGGGCTGGGCAGGGATTGAACTTGTGATCCTCCTGCCTTCACTTCCCACAGTGCTGGAATTATATGAACACCATCATATTGGTCTTCAAGTGTGTTCTTGAAAGAATGTACGTGCATTTAAAAGTCTGCAGACCAGCTGCTCTCTTATCTGCAATTCAGAGGACAGATGTTGGGAGCACAAAGTGTGCTGAAAGGGAAATCAGAAAAACCCACAACATTTATTAGTATTTATTAGGGCTTGAGAATTCATACTCAGTTTGCCAGCCACTCCCCAGGATCTCTTGAGTACCAGAATGCTTGCGTGATGCTGGGGCAGTGGTCAGGGCTCAGTTCAGCCAACATAACTTTAATCCTTAGCATGGAAAAACGATTTGCACAATGAAGAGTAAGATGGTAAAGTACTTAGATTGGCTTGTCATCCACAACTGAGTAGCCTGCTTACCATCCAGCCCTGGGCAATGCTAGAATGGTCAGCAGAGCTTTGCCCAAAGGGTCTGTATGTGGTCACAAGGGCTTGATCCAGCCCTATGTTTGAAAAGTGAGGCACAAGCAGGGATATGTTCCCAAGCAGAGAGCCATATCCCTCATGCATGAGGATACAACATGCTGGAGCATCTCTGCACACAAGGCAGCCCCCTTCACGAAGCACCCTCTTCCTCCTGAGTGATGGCTTCTGCCTCCAACTCATTGGGCCCCCAAGGAGTATGGGTTTGATGGGCAGAGAGGGGAGCACTAGTGCCAGGGCTTTATACTCACATAGTTTCCTTTTCTCTTAGAAATACTTCGACGTTTCTTCATTGTTTCAAAGCAGTGTGTTGCTTATTGTCCAGCTGTTCAGACCTTTGCCTCTGAACCTGCCAAGCCATTTTTACTGGAAAAGCCCATGCCCTTCCTATACATAAGATGCTGTACAGAATCTTTATGCAATATGGAGGGACCTGATGTCTCAGAAGACACATTCCGAGAGCAGGTTGGAAGAGCCTACAAGAAGAAGTGCAGCCACATAGTGTCCACCCTCCTCACAGTCTTGTCCACTGCCTTTGCAGGCTTGGGCAAGCTCTGAGATGCAGGGACCTGTGCTGTCTTCTGTAGCATGAATTCACTGCTGATTGTCAGCACCTGTTGCATTAAACTTACTTTCCATTGAAAGGCATCTTGGTCTGACTCATCAAGGGCCTCTGGGTGAGTGGGTGTGGAGCATGTGGACCAGTGGCTTTATGTCCCTGGAGATCCTCACTTCCATCAGAGCAAGTCCCAACTCTTGGCCATAGTTGTATTGATCAGTGTCTCTGAAGTCAAACTTTGTGATTCTTCATTACTGATACACCTTCCTTTCTCTGCTTCTTTGCTGGTATTGTTGGGGAGGTAGCTCTTCACCACCCATGAAGCCTGTGTGCTTAGTGCTTCTGACCTTTCGGGGAATGTGCGATCAGTGGGGGACACTAAATTGGAGTACACATTTATGGAGCAATGCACTCCTCAATGTGACTTTGCTAGCCACCTAGCCCAGGTGCTTGAATTTCTCCAGCATGCGTTCGCCCAACTTCTGAAAGAAGGACCAATGAGACAGCATCAGTATCCTCTCTCCAAGTTCCAGAGGCAAGATAGTCATCCACTGAAAGTGAGAATTCCAAGTCAGAGTTCTACACTTCCAAAGTACTTGCTCCCATGGTGCTTACCCAGTGTCAGGTTGGGGGCTAGAACAGATGCACAGTGTTTCCCTACTCTCTCTTCTGGTCCCATACAGGAAGACTGAGTGATAGGCCTGAGAAATCTCCTAGAAAAAGTTTCTGTACTGTTCCTGAGGCATGGGAGACAAGGTCATCTCTGTCACATCTAACCCTCCAAACCTTCAAGTCCCTTCTGGAGGCAGCATCTCCAGGACTGGATGGGACTTTCATTTCCTCAGTGCAGGCTCTGAGTTCATACCCAGTCCTTGACACCTGCATGCTACAATAATACCACAGCTACTCCCAATTCAGATCTTTGGGTTGGAGTTCAAGGGACATCACTTTTGTTAGGGCAGGCATATTACTGAGCCTTCCTATAATTGGACACAATACCCAACACCCACAGTTTAAAGAGGGAGAGGTTTAATTTGGCTCCCTGTTTAAGGAGATTTGGCTCTAAGGCAGAAACAACATGGCAGAAAGGTGTGGTAGAGCAAAGCTTCTCTTTCATGGCAGCTGACAAGAAGCAGAACAGTGGAACAGTGCCAGAACGGAAGAGGTGAAGTGCCAGACATAGGCCCCCAAAGTTGCGAATCAATGACCCACACAGACACACCCAGAACTGTGCTTAACCAATCCATGGGACAGTTCCCAAAGCCTATCAAATTGACAGTACACCCTACTGCCACATTAAGCAAAAGAGAGCAAGCAAGGAGGGAGAATACAGGTGGCAGTTGCCATGGCAACCTGACCTTGGGCTCTTTTCAAATGGAAGACAATGTACAGTGGCAAAGAATAAGAAAGTTAAGAAATGTGAATATGGAAAAGTCCCAAATTTGGAACTGATAGGCCTTGGGTACTATTAGGGAAGGGAATGGAAGCAGGTCCAAGGCCACGCAGGGAGAATAGACAGCTCCTCCCATCAGCCTGGCAGAGGAGTAGGTATGAGTGCACAGACATATCATGTTTGGGCAGGAGCCCCGATCTGAAATAACTTATCCCCAGCAGTCACATTTTCTCTGCCATATGTTTCAAAGAGAAGTGCCCAAGTAAAGTTGGACTTGAAGTAATATAATAGCAACCTGGGACAGTCTTTTAGGGCGAGAAGAGAAGGAGATCGCAGGGGAAGGGAGGGCATCCTGTGGTGACCCAGCCATGCAGAGGTTATTGTGGAGACCTGGGAGAGCTGGGGCAGGACTTCCCTAGTAGCTTCCCTAGTGGTAGTAAAGTCTGGGTGTGTACTACTCCACAAGGTCACATAGCAAAAGTGAGGTATGGTTGGTTTCAAAAGAGTGCTAGACTGTGGAAACTTAACTGTGCAGTGAAAGAAAGCAAAGCAAGGTGAGAGATGCCACCCTCCAACAATGATGCGAATGCCAAGGACAAAGACCACATACAGATCTCTGGGAAAGCATACGAGTAAAGACGCAGAAAAGAAGGGCATGCAGGTAGTAAAAGCCATGGGAACTTAGTACAGAATAAACAAAGGTGCAAGGTGAATTAGTTAAGACATGATTGTTCAACATATGACATTGCTAAGTTATCGCTTGTGTCTAGATGTCCCCCCAAAGCCTCACACGGTCACCGGTAGGGCTTTTCGGAAGTGGTTGGATATGCAGTGTGTGACGCTGGGATTAAGAGTGTGTGTGCTGTCTGCTTTAGCTTTTATGACATAAAACAGACAGAAAGAAGCTGCTGCTGTCACTCCCTGCTACTGCTTCTGTTGCTGCCGCTTGTCTTCTGCTGCCTCCTGCCTACTCTGTGATGCCCCTCTGGCCTGCCCCCCCACCCCCTGCTCTGGAGGCAGCCAAGTATGGACTGAGGCATCTACAAACTGAGAACAAATAAACCTTTCCTCCTTTAATTGCCGGTGTTGACTATTTTGTCTCAGTAACAAAAAAAGAAACCAAGACATTAAGCCAGGTTCCTGTTAGAATGTGATAGAAAACTCCAAATCGTAGTGTCTCAAAACTAAATGCTGTGAGCCAAGTTGTTTTGCTCAGTCATGCTGATGCCTGCCTTGCAAGTGCAAGATCCTGAGCTCAGTTCCTGGTACCCAAAAAAAAAAAAAAAAGAATCAAGCAAACAAAAAACCAAAACTAAATGGTGTGTTTTTCACTTGTGTCAGTGAAGTGAGGAGGCGGGGTCCTCAGTGAGGCAGGGAAATAGGCATGGCAGACTGGCTGCAGAAGTAAGGCATGATCTGTTAATTAGGAAGTGCCCAGGACACATGAGCAGAACAGCTCACAAAACCCCACATGCGGACTTCTCACATAGCTTGAGCAGGTTTTTGATAGGAAGACCTAAACCTGATGACAGCCTGAGAAGAAGGAAATATAAGAGGAGAGTTGTTGTATTCTCCATATTAGTCCTCTGTCTGAAGAATAGCTAACAAAAAAATTTTGCTGTTCTGTAGGTTGTCTCTTCATTCTGCTCATTGATTTTTTTGCTGTACAGAAGCTTTTTAATTTAATGTAATGCCATTTGTTCACTCTTGCTGTTATTTCTTGTGAAATTGTGATTCTGTTTAGAATATCCAGAATATATAAAGAATTCAAAACAATGAACCACTTGTAATAAATATCCAGTCAAGTAATGCGCAACTGAAACGAACATACACATTACCGGGGAAGAAGTACAAACAGCCAATAGAAATGTTCAGCATCTCTGCCCATCAGAGAAACTCAGATTAAACTAACATTAAGATTTCATCTCATTCCAGAAAGAGTGGCAGTCATCACAAAATCAAACACTAACATGCTGTGGTGACAAAGGAACTCTGCTACATTGCTGGTGGGAATGTAAACTAGGACAACCATTATGGAAATCAGTATGATGTTTTCTCAAAGAACTGAAATTAGAAATTCTGTATGACCCAGAAATCCCCTTTCTGGATATCTTTTCCAAAGAATTTAAGACATCATAGTACAGCAATACATGCATAGCAATGCAGCACAATTCATAATAGCTCAATCCGGAGGCAGCCTGTATACCATCAACAGATGACTGAATAAAGAAAATGGGTTATATGTATAATGGAATACTCAGCTAAAATGGAGGGAAAATTTGAGACATTTGTAGGAAAAATGGATGCACCTGGAAAATACATTGTTGAGTGAAAGAAACCAGGCACACAAGTTTCAATACCAAATGGTATCTCTCATTTGAGAAAGGCAAAGTACAAACAGAATAAAAAAGGAGGGATAGAAGGAGACAAAGGAATGGGTCTCTTGCAAATGGGAAGGGATCTAAGAGAGCACTGGCCAAGGGGAAGGAGAGGGAGGAACAAGTAGAATAAAGATAAGCCGTGTACAGGAACCTAGTAACCTCAATGAATGTAAACATTGCATGGCATAAACATGTTCATATTAATAATATTAATAAGAGAGAAAATGGGGAAAGGGAAATTAACAGAAGGCAGAGGGAAAGGAAAGGGATTTTTAAAAAGAAACAAGATGTATCATATACATGTACCCACTCCCCAAGATGATTGTAAACTGCATGTACTGTAAACATGTACTACTATAAAAATATTTACATTTTTGTAATGAACAGTCTACACTGAAATTTTTGCTCCCATGTTCTCATGGTAGACCAGTCTTTACTTGGCCCAAACTCATATGTAGAGCCTATTTCTTTCCCTATCTTTAGTTCACATAAAGCTTCCTATTGTCTGTACTTGTCTTGACCAATTCTTTGTGCAAGACAGAAAGAATCTAGAAACCACTTGTAGAAGGGAGACACCAGGACTCAGTGTCCCTGCTCAAAGGCCCCAGTGCTTGGCACACTGCAGGCTGATGGGTACTCTGTCAGTGAGCAAGAAAGTTTAGGTCTTACAAAAGTACCATTGCTTTGAACATCATAAATTCACAAAGATGTACATGGAAAGAAGTACCACCATCCACTGGTATGCTTTGAAACAAAAAAAGAGGAAGAGCTAGGTACAAAGCACTGCCTTGTAAGAACAACTGTCAGAAGCTCCAAGAGCTGCTGGCTGCCTTGGCCAGACCTAGTGGACTGTATAAAAGCACATGGGAGGCGACCCATGTGCATGGAAAGTGACCCCCCACCTGGTAAAGTACATAGGGTGCAGTTCAGAAACTTGTGAAAATACAGGCTGTCTGAAACCTCTGCAGTTTTAAGCAAATACATCTATCTCTCTGAAATGTCATTTGCTGTCACAAACACTAAGAAAACTATCACTGATTAAATCCTTTTATTGGTAAGAATGAAACTGATAGAAGACAAAAATAGCACCACAAAGGAAATTAGTGACCTTAATCATTTTGAACAGAAATAGTAGCTCATCAAGTCCAAATGTATGAAAATAATAAGATTATATCTAAGTGCAACTTACTCTGGAAATGTAAGGATGGTTCAATCATAGAAAAAGACATCAATCACTGTGGCAAATGAATAAAGGCCAGCCGTATAACCATAGTCAATGCTTGCTTCTGATTT